CAACAACAACAGAAGAAATAATAATAACAGAAACAATAGGAACAATAGCACCAGCACCAACAACAACCACTACAACTACAACTACAACAACAACTACAACTACAACTACAACTACAACTACATATACAACTACAACAACAACAACAACAACTACAACAACAACTACAACTACAACTACAACTACAACTACATATACAACTACAACAACAACAACAACAACTACAACTACAACTACAACTACAACTACAACTACATATACAACTACAACTACAACTACAACTACAACTACATATACAACTACAACTACAACTACAACAACAACAACAACAACAACAACAACAACAACAACTACAACAACAACTTCAACTACAACTACAACTACAACAACAACAGAAGAAATAATAATAACAGAAACAATAGGAACAATAGCACCAGTACCAACAACAACTAGTACTACAAGTAAGTAATACGTTAAATAATTAAATACTGTTTCTTACAACGACTAATCGCAAAAATTGTGAATATTTGAAAGTTTTTTATGTTTGCATGTACGAGGACCGTAGAAATTAGTGAAAGTGTAGCTTCAAATATCTCGGAAAACGTTGAAATGGTTACGGTTTGTCAATCTTTTTCTCTCATCCTTGCAGATTTTTAGCTTTTTGAAATTCAATCAACAATCTTAATTGAATAGGCACTATTTTTCCCTTAGAAGCTTATATAAGTTTTGATCTAATGAAATAGATGTGTCTTTGACAAGTAAACCAACTTTCAATTGAAAGCATTGATCAACGAAGTTGAAGAACTTATACTGTTAAGAGTATTCTTTAATGAAGCTGCTGCATCTGTAGATAAGTTTTTGGACTAGCATCCAGAAACTAATAGTGATCTCACCTTAGGATAAGTAAAGGCTCGGATATCTTTCTAAAGATTCGATTAGATCGAATAGATTTCTAGGATCGACCAGGAAACTGTTTATGAAATCTCTTTAATCAAAATGAAAAACTACTTTTCTTTATATAAGATTTGTGTTGTCACATAACAACAGAAAATAGGTGAGCAATATATGGTTGAATGATTCCAACAAGATTCTATCACCTTACAAATCGGTAGTTCATGGAAAAGTAAAATTTTCCGAACTCATAAATTAAACTTCAGAATAAGAGTAGACTATTTAACTTAACATTAAATTAAGTGTTCTTAATTAACACTTCATTTTTACTGTCAAGTATGTATGTATGAAAAACTTAATGCTTAATATTAAGTTTTAGTTGTTTCTATTGGGCACTTAGTTCACTTAAAATTAAGTTTAAGTTATAATGCTAGATAAAGATATGCTTTAATTTCGAGTTTTTCTTTACTTTAATTTGAAATCAGCTTGGTGTTGTTCTGGTTATATAAAAGAGCATCTCTGATCGGCTTGAATCACACCATGTTAAGTCCATATTGAAGTAAGGAAAAACACAACAATTAATGATATTTGTCTGAATAATCACTTAACACTTAATTTTAAGGGAATTCAATAATAAACAGTAAAACAACTTCAGTACTTAACTTCATCAAGTCACTTTTGAAAACTTATCTGCGTCTGTATCTAGAAACATCAAGAATCGACTTTTAATATCAATATAAATCATTTTCTTAGATTCATAGGATGCTGTATCAAATCAGAGCAGAATGACTGTTGTCTCACACTGGAGAAACGTTCAAGGATTCATATTGACACAGATTTGTGTTATTATTTGGATTCAGCTGCACAGAAAGTACCCATAACCTATCACTACAGACTTAATAGCTTTCAAGATACTCCCCAATGCAAGATATTCTTCGGTGACTTTGAAGCTAAGATACACCAAAATATTATTTAGGAGAATGACAAGTTGAGCATATTACAAGATGCTAGTTATTATTATGAATGGATTACAGAATATATTTTGAATTCAAGAACGTGACCAAAGCATTGGTTTGGAAAGTTGACGATTCGTATTCCAAATGCCCTCATATTTCCTTAAATCTGATTGCACTAAAATGATCACTAGCATAAAGTATATAAATCAGCAAATTTCACGAAATGAAGGAGTCTAAAACTGCTACGAAGACTATAGTGATTTTCGTACAAAATCACAGCATTCAGTTCGATCTTTCGACAAAATACATGTATGATTATCGGGAAATTATCAAACAAGAATCTCGATTTGACTCTCTGTGTATGCTGTCGGTACTTGTTGACCAATAAGCGAGATCTGTAGGGTTCGTCCAAACATAATACTGTTACATTTTTGACACTTTTTTGAATTATCTCGGCAATTTTTGAGAGCTAGAAGGTTGGCTCAAACGTTATATGACGTAGCTTATCACACTCTTTCTGCTATAAGAATGAGCTTTATTGACTGAAGTCTCGAACTCTTAGGACATAGCTTTTATCACCATTTGAACAGAGGATCTTATCATGTGATGTCTCAGCTTTTCTTGTTCCCATCGAACTTTTTTCGACGATGAAGACATACAGTTTTTGGTGTTAGTGTTTTTGATAAGCTATTAGAAGGATTACGAGTGGTATTATTTTTTACAGGTTTGTATGAAGGTAGCTGCTAACACAGTCGATGCTCGATCAGAATATGCTAGAAGAAACATCATTTTTGCTTTTTGTTGGTGTCTGTTGTGTTGTTTGTTTTTGAATAAGGATATTTTTAACAATGGCATATACTTCATGCATTCCACTTCTGATTCCATGTTGCAGATACCTATTTATGGTCAACGTCTTCCTCATAGAGTACAATTGGCTGTTTTTATGCTGATCTGTTGAGCAAATAAGTAGAATGCGAATTAATAATGTATACATGAGTTCGATTTTATATGTGAAATATTAGTGAGGATAGATGTGGATGTGAATGTGAGAATTGAAGTAGAGAAGGCTCACACCCACACCCGCAACAAGACTCGTAAAGTTATATTTCAACAAAAAAAAATGCAATCATTAAGGTGTTTGAGTTCGAAGGTTATTTGAGCTGTCACACAAGTGAATTGGAATTGAAAAGATTTCGATATTAATATCAATCGAAAATATATTCGATTGAAATTAATGTAAAATATTCATGATCCAAAACTCCAAAAAATAGAAAATGTAGAAGTTCTTTCTTTCGAGAAAGGCAACAATATTCAAAGAATTCGAATACCTCATTTTCTTCTGGCTTCGACATTTGTCATACTGCCTGTGCTGGAAGAAAAAAACATCAACGCCTCAGCCATTTTCCATGAGATGATAGTTCAATTTTTGCAGATACTGCAAGTACTCATTAGAACTGGTGCTTAAGAAAAGATTGAATAATTCAATTAATAAAAAAATCGAAACTTGAAATATGAAACAAACCAATAAAACCAGTGAGAGACCGGTTTTAAATCCGAATTATAAACTGACCCATAAACTCATATACAGATAGACATTTTTTTTATTACTCGTCTAGAACCTTGACTTTCCAGTCATGCGAATAAAATTAAAAGAGTTTCAAAAATCGAGACAAAAATAAAACAATGATTCATATTCATATAGATAGTAGTTTACAAAACGTGTTTTATACAGACAAACAGACGAAATCAATTATATATCGTTATGTATACCGTCGAAACATCCGAGGGAAAATTTTATTTGAATAAGTATTGTAATGCTTATTTTAGAATATAAATTCTGAGATCCACAAATACATACTGTCTATCTGCCATAGTGTACAGGGAGATAATGAATCCAAGCTTCTCATTCCATACTTTGACTGATTACTTCTAGTCGTATTTCACAAAATAGCAGGGCAAAATGTCTACGAGTACACAAAGTCGTCAGCCCAAAAGAAATGACTCATATCTAGGTGTTGACTATCTGCTTATAGATGCCAACCGCTTTTACACTTTGCCTGTCTTTATGACATTCTTAACTCGTCCATCAGTCTGCTTCAACAATAAAACACTACAACAAAGAATATATATTTTCTTTTGCTTACATGGAAATTTATGCCTGAGTAACTGTACGCTCGGGACAAGGGAGTTCAGACTGTCCATTCCCTATGTAGAATTGAGCTACACACTGCAGGACATATCACCGTTCATTTGAGCTGATAAATCAATGTATTCAAACGGTGTATTTCCAAATACGAAACCTAGTCCATATTGCGTCTTGAAAGTGGTAAGGTTTTTCTACATAAAATTCAAAAGTGGACTGAGATCGACTTATCAACGCACTGAGAGAATACTGTGTAGTATAATAGGTTTTTAATTCAAAATCCAACTCATCATACTCATTTAGGTACTACCAAAACAACAACTTCAGTTGACACGCAGTCATGTGCAATGTTTAGTTGCGTTCATCGATTAATATCGAACGATCACTTCAAATTACTTTGAATATTCGAATAGAATCTTTGTCCTGACTGTGCATGCATTTTGTAATCATTATTTGAAATAGCAGCTGTGATGTTTTCTTTCCAGTTATTGATATAGTTGAATCGATGTTTGATTTAAGATATCCAAATATCTTTAGATTGTTCATCAAAAGATGTTATATCCATATATTACAGTGCATAAGTAGATATCTGAACAGATTACTTGTTTATTCCATTCATGTTCTACATATTTCTTCAGTACAGTTTCATCCGTACCATATCTCTGTAATGTAACCAATATTTGAACAAGGTGATTGTATTGGCTATTTAAATGGCACATTTTCAGTGAACATATTGCTGATCCAAATGAATTACTTGAGCCAAGCTAGATTTTTGAACAGAATCTTAATGTTGAGCTCGATTTATTTCTCTAGATATCCTTACTGATGCGATTGAGTGACACACTATGCTTCAAAGTGAGCGATATACTTTAATGGAACCCTTATGATAATGAATCATTAGTCAATAGATCATTGCCAATGTGCACGAGTGACATACTTCGCTTCGAATTGAGCGATATATTTGAATGGAATATTGTTTATAATAATGCCTTTGCCACTAGATCCTTGATGATGGGATCGAGTGACAAATTTCGCTTCAAACTGTGTGATATACTTGAATACAAGTCTAATTATAGTGATTTATTTATCAAGTTATCGTTCCTATTATGATCAAGTGATACACTTTCCTTTAATTTGAGGTATACATTTGAATGTAACCGTCATTATAACGATTAATTTGCCAATAGATCTTTACTGATATGATCGAGGGATACCCATCGCTTCGAATTCAGCGATATATTTGAACGGAATTCTTATTATCATCATTCATTTGTCCAGTGATCTTTACTAATGTGATCTAGTGAGACAGATTGTTGTGAGCTGAACGATATTCTTGAATGAAAGACTACTTATCACGATTCATTTATCAAGAGGTCTTTGCTGATGTGATGAAGTGACACACATTACTTCGAAATGAGCGATATACTTGAATAGAATAATATTTAGAACGATTCTTTTATCAAAAGACCTTTACATATG